AAATTCCTTATTTTCCTCATTACTTCTAAAAATACGTGTTGCTTACCCAGATGTTATGTGGTTGATACAAGAATTGTCAGATGAAGTATCATGTCTTGTGCTATACAGAAGGAAAAACTAGTTGGTCTTACAGTGCTTTCTAGTCTTAAAATCCATTCATGCTTGAATGTCTTAATTTACAAACTTAACAGTCTTATTCATGGTTTTGTACGATATTTTTAGCAAGTATAAAATAAAACCAAAACAATCCCTTGCATAAATACAATCATCCAGAATCCCATGCTGTTTGTGGCATTTAGATCCAAAACTCTTGGGCCATTTCAAGATTTCTGCTGCTGCCAACCACAGGGTGGGTATCAGTGTTAACCTGTCCTTTATGTGTAATGGCTACCAAAGAGCTTTGACACACATACTTTTCCAGGGTCCTACATAGTTAATAAACAGTCCTCAGAAAAATATTAGCTGTCAGCATTCCTGGAGTTTATGCCTGGATTTAGGGAGGAAGACAGCAATGATATCGGTAAGTTTAGCAAACCACAGGAATTTAATACTGTCGGTCTGGGTTTTTGGACTTCATGGTTTAGATTTAGATTTGCCTCATTTGCAAGCTTTCTACAAAATGAAGGCAATGATCTGTGTTTGCTTTTTCTGGGTGGGGAAGGTAAGAATCCTGTCCGTGATGCCGATGCTGTTTTTTTTCCTGCTCCGGCAGGGGGATTGGACTAGATGATCTTTTGAGGTCCCTTCCAATCTCTAACATTCTGTGATTCTGTGATTCTGTGATTCTGTGAATTTATTAAATAGTAATCACTTTAGAGGGTACAGCTGTATTTTAACAGAAGAAAAGTTATAAGGAAAGATATAAGATATGACCTCCTAGCTTGAACCAGCATGAGGCATAAGCGAGAGAAAAACAGGTTCACCTAATGATAGGGGAGAGGAGCTGTGCAAGTCTGTGGTCCCGGTTACATCATTTGACTTGTTTCACACTAGCTACTAGGAAGGGGATGTGAGAAAAGAGGGCAGGAAATCCTGATGGCTCTTAGCTCTTTTTAAATCTGTGTCTGCTTTCCTAGGGGTAGAAAGAGAAGGTGTGTTGATTCATATACCTGGTTTGTATCGGTGGAATTATATGCACAGCTGCAGTGACATTTTGCAGTTCAAGGCTTTTTCAGTTGTTCTTGTGGTCCCTCTTCCTGCCTGCCTTCCTGGCATGTTCCCATTGCACATTATACCAGTTCATCAGAACACCTATTTTCATGGAAGCAGAGTTATTTTTAATTAATGTATGTGGTCAACCTGTTCAACATGCCATAACTGCATACATTTTTAGAAGGACACATTGCAGCTTATAGAAAGATTAAAACTGGATTTTCAGAAAGGATCTCTGAGGGAAAAACCCAAACCAAACAACCTTCTACTGATTACAAAGCAAAATTACACTGGTGTGGAAAACATTAAAGCAACCTGCTGTGACTCAGTTGTTCAAGGACATAAAAGATACCTTACAGAAAATCAAATGTAATGCGAGGGGAAAAAAACAAAGTACCAATTCTGTGTATGTGCAGGGCTCATCTGAGGGAACCGCAGAGCAATTGTGACGCTTCTCTGCAGTTTATTCTTAGTTCCCTGGCAGAAGTAGATGTGTCTATCCTGTGTCTTCAATGTTTCTTTGACTACTTTGTAGAGAGATGAAGAGAGAGCCCTTGGTGCAGCAGCCCTCTGCACTTTTTGCTCCAAATCAAAGCTGCTTCTTTCTGAAGCAGAACAACATTTCCATGGCCAGACAAATGTCTGCAGGCACAGAACTATCTGCTGGAATTCCAGCTACTGGTTTATCCCACCCAGTTCACTCTTTGCCTTCAGAACAGTGAATCACATTTTCATAACTTTATAATTAGGGGGGAAAAAGACTTTTCTGAACAAGCTTCCTAAGTTCACTCAGAGTTCCTCAGACTGATGATATTAAACTAGGGTGGGTTAGCATCTTCACTCCAATTAAATGATGTTTTACCAAAAAATTCTTCTTTTTTTCTTTTTCCTTTTTTTTTTTTTTTTTTTTTTTTCCTTGGAGATTGTGAGTCTGTCTGCCTAGCCCTTGTACAAGCTCTAAAACTATTCTTCAAAATCTGTCTCCGGATGCATGTACAACAACCTTGTGGAACTTGTTGGAGGTTTATAGTAGAGCTAAAGACGTTACTTTGATACAGGAAGGGAATGCTAACCTGCCTCGTACTGGGATCTGAAAGGATTAAAAATGGCTTAAATTGTTATACTCTGTTTTCTCTCTATCTTCAAAATCACACTCTCAAGGAAAAATTTGGTATAAATACACCTGTTTGTGATTGTGGCTTACTGCATATCAATTTCCTACTGCATCTGACCTGCTCCATTGTCCTTCATACCTCCCCAGACCATCTGAAGGGAAATAATGTCCTAATACCACAAATAAATATTGAAGACTGTGCAAGACAAAGATTTAAAATGTATTATATACACTTTTCTGCACAGTTTGCAATAAGAACTGTTGATGGTTGTAAATTCAAAATGTGTGTGTTTCTCATAAGTTCAGGTTCCATGAAATGTCAAGCATAGGCTAAAATATAGCCCAAAATATTAAGACATACATTAAGAACTTACCAGCTAAGCCCTATGCACAAAGTTCAATAAGTAACCACCTTCTGGAAGAGTGTTGCTTGACTTAGTAAATAACAGCTGAATATCTCTGAGAGAATCCGAGCCAGTATCTGCTTTTACAGCACCATGAATCAGAAATAACTGCATCAAGGACAATACATACTTCATGTTATTTAGATTAAAATGGATTTTGGTGCCCAGCCTACAAGCTATTGGTGTAGATATGTTGGCTGGTCACATTCTGAAAACTGAAAGTTTTTGTTTTCATACAGCTGGCAAGTGGAATGAGTGTCCTTTCAGCTGTACCACTAATGAAAACTTACAGAAAATATTTCCATTACAGTTGAACTATGTATGCAGTTATGGAACAAAACTTCATTAAATGAAGTGAAATGTTTCCTGGAATTCCCCTACCACATCCATATATTATGGTAATTTACTTTGAATTTGGGAATTTTGATCCTCTTTGTGTGTCCCAGGTAAGAGCAGTCATCTTCATCACATTTGGCCCTGTCTTTTGAATTCCAGCTTTGCATTTTCAAGCCTTTTATTAATGCAGGGACCAGCCAGTTTTTCTGCATTCTACAGGCTTGGCAGCAAAAGAACTAAAAAAAAAAAAATCCAAATAATTGAATCTTTTGTTCTTTGGGGCCCAGTTCTCTCCTTCCAGCAATGCCTGAAAAGCAGAAGAAGTGGTGTGGTCGTATTTCAGAAGTTACACTAAGGCTTCAAACATTGTAAGCTTGGAGAATGTATCCTCCTTTCCAAAGCGTGAGAAAGTGACTATTGCACTGGACTATTTTGTCAAATATAGAAGAGTTGCCTGTTCCCCTGCATCATCGCATACTCTTACTACCATGCCAGGAAATTAAGTGTTTGTGATAAGTGGGTGGTGTTATGGTCTGTTCTTTCGCATCGTTCCTGAGCAGATTCTGAACTGCAATTCCAAACCACTCTCTAGGATCTGAAGCTACAGTTCCCAATCCTGAAGTGTTGCAAGATACCTCTGTACCAACCGTGATTTTACAGTTCCCTTCCAGAGTTTGTGATGAACCTTAGCCAGGTAGTTCTGAGGTGGATTTTTGAGTCATTTTTTATTTTATTTTTGTTTTTCTTTGATAAGGCCCTTTTACCCTCTTTGTACTGATGCAATGAGAAAAGCAATCTTACAGAACCACCTCCTCTGGTTCTGCGGCCAGTGTGGATTTCTTCAACCTGTATGAAACTCTGCAGCCCAGGTTGTGTCAAGAGCTGCAACAAAAGTGCTCCCAGAAGGAGCACATATTTGCGACAGCTATATCCCATATTTCCTGCTGCTGAGGAGGAGGAGCATCAAGCTGAGGAGGCAATGGTACCTATAAAGAGCCCAAACAGTCTGGAATGTAGTAGGGGAGACAGTCTAATGGCTGGTAGGACCTGTGAAGAGGAGCACTTTCCTTGAGCAGAGACGCCCTAACAGCTTATTCTTTTGCTATGACAGTATCTATAGTCTTTATGAACTTGAACACTCTCATTAGCAATTACTAATTTACATAATACATATTAGTATATCAGGGGCTTAGAGAAGATTCAAAAGCCCTTTGAGGCAGTAGATAAGTGAAGAGAAGCCTTATAAGGTGGACCAGTTTTTGACTCACAAGCTTAGCCATCCAACTAATTTGCATGAAATGTGAGAGCCTTAAATCATAGTGAAGATGTTTCCTGTGTTGTAATTAGATGGGAAACTCCCTTACAGACTCAAAAAATCCTAAGATAATTGAATTGTAGATTATTTTATATAGAGTCACAAAACAATTTAATATAATTTCTGGAGGTTTTTATGGTGTGGTTTGAATAGTAAGATTCTACTCATGCTTGTCTGGGAACATGGGTATAAATCACCAAATGTTGCCAGTTAGCAGTAATGCCCACATCTCAAACTCATGTTGAAGTGCTGGGCTTTGCAGCACAGTCATAGACTCACCACGTAAAATATGAGTGATTTTATATTAACATTTTATATTAATATTTTATATTAATATTATGCTGTATATGTTCTGCTACAGATTACATCTTCCATTTTTCATGGCTCTATGAGCCACTATGTCCTACAATAAAGTTTAGGGTCAGTTAAAGCTGCTGACTTAATATACATACACACTGCTTTAACAGACCCCAAACTCTGTTGTGGGTCTACAGAATTGCCAGCATTGTTCTGACCTTGACTATGCCTCTGTTCAGCCTTCATTTTTCTCCTTTCTGAGCTTGCTTCATCCCTTTAGGAAACTTTCAGTGTGTTGTGCAAAATTACAAACATAATGGTTCAGCTTTGCAAGATCTTTTTAACAAGAAAAAAAACCGAAAGATCTGTCTAAAATATCTGGTTTAGATTTAATTTTATTTGTCATCTTTTATGAACAAATTACGAAATATACTTCATTCACAAATTGGAAATATTTACAATTTCTTTACAACAAGGCATTGGTAAGGTTTTGATTTATGGCATTCTTAGAGCATTCTGTCTTTCAAAACAAAGACATTGGTGTTGTTTTCAGCACACTGTTCATTTACACTCTGAATTGGAAATGGGAGCCTTTTGGAAGAGTAATTTGCACTCTCTTTTGATACAATCTGCTGGGAAAACTGAGGCTGGATGCATTCGCAATGTGGGCAGTGGGACTGTGCAGGTGTGTTGCTGGTACCATGCCACATGATTTGAAGCCATCATATTACACCAGGTGCTGCTAAGTGGGGAGGAGAAAAATATTCCCCTGAGCCATCCTTCCTCTGTCCTCTTCTCTTCTCTTCTCTTTAGGAATACTGTGACTGGGCTAAATGTGGTCCAGTTTAACTGGGGTTTTTTTTTTGTTTTCTGAGGCTTCGTCAGAAGAGTTGTCTTGAGAAGTCTATTTCAAATACTCTCACCATTCTGAAAAATTATTCAGACAAAAAAAAAAAAACAAAAGAGAGCAGCCAGGAAGTGAATAAATATTGTAAATCTGCAAAATGTTCAGGAGACAAATTTTGAACACATTTCTAAAAGGGAAATGCAACTGTGCTGTTCTGCAGCTTTGACATTTGAGCCATAAAAGCTAAGATAGTTCCATTTTCTCAGTTTCTTGGAGTTTATTTTTTTTTCCGAAGAAAAATCTAAACCCACTTCTTTCCATGGAACTTTTAAAAATCTCTTAATATACACTTCCATTATAAATCAGATGTGGGCCACCATTGCTTAGGTTGTCTGTCATTTCCTGCAACAAGAATAGAAAACACTGATGAAAAATACAATTATTTTATGGTGTTTGAAATTTAGTTAGCTAAGGTCGTAAGAAAAAATTAACAAACTCTGAGTTTCAGACATTCAGAAAAACTTTACATTTTTTTATTTGGCTTAATAAATCTCACTGTAAAAGAAAAGAAATCACATTTCTCCCTACATAAATTAAGTACATTTGAAAGCTGATAGAGTCATTGATAGTGATTGCATTGGACATTACTCTCAGACCACATGTACAGCATTTATGGCATCCGTGCAAGTTTTGTGATGTTGTCCTTTGAAAGTGTGTCAATAAAGCTTGTGTGGTAATGTGCAAAGGAACAAGATGGTAACTGAGTCTTCATTTCCATTCAAAACTTTTTCTGTGCTGACATGCCACAAACAGATGCCTTTTGATGCTAGCTGGGATAGACATTTGGGAAGTAGGTCTATATCCAAATAGGACTTAAGGGTTTTGACTGCTTGCTTTGGGATGGGATTGATTTTGGTTTTCACTTAGTATGCCAGACTACAATTTTTAGCAGTTCAGCAATTGCTACTCAAGTGGCAGATGAGTCTGCAAAGTAAGCTGACCTGATCATGAGTCAGAATCCTAAAGCACCTAAACCAAGATTTGTTTGGAGTTAGATTTTCTAATTCTCAAATTGCAATCCGAACAATACCTATTTAGCAGCTGTCTAAGCCTGGAGATGGCTACATTAGTTAATCACTTATCTGACCTTCAAGGCTACAAAGCCAAGTGGATTTTATGCTGAGAACTGCCGCCTTCTGTGCAGTCCGAGGGCTGTTTCATACCAAATTGAGTCAGGATGCAGAAATGATCTGCTGCTTATGTCCAGTGAGAGATCCCTGAGAACATACTATGCCAAGAGGAATGGGCACGTGTGAAAATGCAATTTAGGCTATTCTTTTTAAAATTCAGGTAGATGAGGTAGAGGCACCACTGTTGGGCTAGTTCTAAAATGTTTGCATGAGAACCAGAAGATCTTCTCTGCATGGAAAGATTAAATTCACCTTTTCCACTTCCTAGGTAGAGTTGGAGAAAATGTGTAAGATTTGTCTGTCCCCCATGTTGTGTAAGTTTCTATAAAGAAAGTAAAGCGAGATTTATTGGCTAAAGAGAGACAGAATGAATGAGCCTGACTCTATAGCATAGTAGCTGAGACTCTTGGTAAAGAGAAGAAAATTCTGGGGCCTGGTCTTTATTCCTAGTCTGACTCTTTCTCTCCTTTTAATCCACAATATTTGATTTACAAGTAGTTTGGGAGGCGGAGACCAGAACTCAAAGTTTCACATAAAGTGGAAGCTCTGCTGCCTTGTCTCTCAGGTGTTACCAGCTGTATTTTAAAATAGATCACAAGACTTAATTGTTCCCTGAACAGTTTTTGAAACAAAGGATGTGCGATGCCTTTCTCCAAAGTAAATTTAGGGCCATCAAAACAAGTACCCTTGCCAATCAATACTCCTGAATCAAGCATAAGATTCAAAGAAAATGCAGTGTGTAAACTTACTGATTTTTGAGCATTTTCTACCACCCAGCTTTGCATTTGGCAGGTGATGGTGTTGGATGCATCGTATGGTGCCTTATTCTCCTCAAGTACAGAAGAGAACCATGCATGCCTGACACTAGCCTCAAGATCCCAGTCTAGGGGCTGTCTGCTCTGAAACAAGGCACTATGTTTTGCCTGTTTGTAGGTGCCTAAACTCTTTGTTGGATATATGATGAAGATATCAGTCAGCTGGGAAAGGGACCAAGAATACCAAAGTTCTTTAATATTAACTGTCAGTCAGCCACAAGTTAATAGTAATGATCTGTCAGAAGGCTACTTATGAGTGAGTGTAAGTTTCCTTTTGTTAGTTTTGTCACTTGAATCCTCTGCCAACATCAGCTATTAGAATATCATCATAATTTCAGAAAATATTGAAAACCATTTATTTCCCCCAATATTTCTATTTTCAAAAATAAAAGTATTAATAAATTTAAAAACATTTCTGAATTCAAGAAATGAAGGAGCATACAGATTAGAAGCAGAGTGAGTCAACGGTGACAACATCCAAATGGGAGCATTTGGATGTCTATAACTAGGGTGAATATTTTAAATACTCAACTTACTTCCAGATTGCAGCGTTCACCACGTAGAATTATGTCACCACCTGGAAGCACCATTCCTGACTCAGAGTGACATCACAACATCAGCCAACTTTGATTAGCTGAAACTATGACTTCCTCTTAGAGATGGCCCTTCCTGAAGTGACATAACAACATGGTAGCTCCCTAGTGTTCAGCGTACCTTGGAGTTAACTCTGGTGTCGGGGGAACCACCGGGCAGCTGGGCAGGTCGGTTATTTCAATACCCCTCAATCTCTAATATAAATATAACAATTATACAATAAATATAGCACAAACAAATGCACATGCAGTACATGTCTATATCAGTGTATATCAGTATAAATATACAAAATAGTCTTATATATAAAACACTTAAAGCTATTTTCTAAATCAGGGCCTAACTTAATGTAAGTTTTTAAGTAGCCTTCATTACTTTATAGGGTCATGCCTTGAGCTAATGTACTCAAACCTGCCAGAAACAGGCTGTCCGCAGGCTGTAGGTCTAAGAAGTCCCAGATCAGACCATCTGTGCGTGCATACTTGATTCTACAACACACATGCAGGGAGTCCACCATCGGTAGGGCGCATCCCACATTCTCTGAGCATATGCAATAAGGTTGCTCTGCACATGCATCATGGCCCTTCACTGAAGATAAGTGGGCACCTAGCAGTCCTCACTGCTAAGTGTCCAAAAGCTCAATAGGTCAACAGGCCAGGAAAGGAGGCAGTGAACTACTGCAATACATGGTCATCTTTAGCCAAAACTGATAGGGTTGGAAGGTGTTTGTGTTTTGAAAACTTTTTCTTCCCAGGCCATTTATTTTTTCTTAACCTCTCTCTTTTTCTCTCAAATGGGCTTCATCTTTCTCCTTGTTGAGTCAAGAACCTCTTTGAAGGCAGGATCTAGCCTACCATCTGCAAGACCATGGTCATACTTGCCTACATAGCTCATCAGAATTATGCTTCACTTTAAAATGAGAGGGAGAAATTTATCTCTCCCCTTGATTTTATCACCCCTGTTTTATGGTACTGTTATAAACTTTTAACTTTTAAAAATATGTTTGAAACGTCTTCTAAGGTGAATTCAGTCTATATTTCTACTTGGAGTCTCATCTCAGTTAAGAAACCGAAGAAAAGTGACAAGTCAATTTTATTTAATGGACAATTAACAGCTATATCATTTTTTTGTCAGGGAATCTGCAAACATTCTACAGTCTGAATTAATCCTCACTCTGCTGTTCGGAGGTCTCAGTAGATGTGATACAGACTGTTGAACTTAACTGTAATGAAACTTGTACGTGGAGGTTTAGACGGGCTGTCCACTTGCTTTTGTTCCCTTCCCTACTCATTTCTCAAATGAAAGGCATTGGATATGAAGTCCAAATGTAAAACACAGGGTGTCAGCGAAAATTTTACTCCTCAAGTATTAATCATATCTGTAAATCCAAGGAGCTGATTTCAATAATTTTATTCAATTAATTCTTTTGGCCCTACATGCTCAACTTTGGGGGATTAAGTTTCAGCACCTAAACATAGACCTAGGCACCTTGATAAGCTTCCTTTTTGCACAGAAAGGCAATAAATGCTCAGTGCTGCTGGAAATCCGACCAGTTTCATTTCGGTGTCTAAATATGCCCTTAGGTGCTTAGGTTTAGTCATCTAGGTTTGTGAACTGTGGCTTTGGTGTTTAAATAACCTACTTTATAAGCTGAGTACTTGGGAGAGGAAGAAATTGGTTAAATCCTGGAAGCATGCAATGATGTTGTCACAGAAAACAGTCTGTGCTTTTTCACAGTACAATACATGATAATCCATATTAATAAGGCTTCTGATTTTTTATAAAGTGCTATATTTAGCAGCTAAGCACTTGAATAGCTATACAATGGAATTATGTTGAAAGTGGATGTACTTCATTGAAATGGATGTACTGCAAATACACAGTACCTAAAAATAGCTCCATAAAATGCAACATAATAAAGCTCACACAGAATGGCAGTATTTCCCAGAAGGTCTTTCTCATATAAAACCGAAAACTGAATACATTTCTTGTGAATTGTAAATGTTAATGCATACAGTAGCATTTTAAGAGAAGCAGAACGAATAAGGGTGGACACACAACTCACTTTTTCTGCCATTTCATGGGAGTGATGCAATGAATGTTCTCTTTCTGAGAACATTCGCCTTTGTTCATAGCTGGCTAGCCGACAAGTGAGCCATGAAGAAAGGGTGCAACCACCAATTCCAATGCATGCAAGAGACATGGAGGCAAGATGCAAAGAATAGAGAGCAGATGACTTCTTTGTCAGAGCACGAAGAAATTGGAAATTTAAGATTCCTCCGATTAGTCCACAGATGCAACAGGCAGAAAAAAGTATCATCTGTCAGGAAAGACAAGAGAGGTTACGTCACAGTAACATTTTTTGGAGACACATTCATATAAAAAATGAGATTAACCATAATTCAATGCTTGAATAGCATCAGGGACTGCAAAACACTTCACAGACACTCGTTTTTAACTCCCTCAGCTCCTGCAGCGCTCGAAGGGAATACAATAGCTTCTGGTATACAAAAGTTAAGATCGATGTTACATGTATGATAAAGTTGGGTAGAATGAGTTGCTCATGTTAAAAGCTAGTCAATGGAAGGACTACTAGGACACAAATCTGACTTCGAGGATGTGATTCAAAACAGTAACATGACAGAATGTTGTAATTTTCTATTGTGCAGTTTCTCACCACTCCTCAGGAGTAAATGCCTCGTGTATTGGCAGTGAATCTCTCTTGCTTTGTGTGCCATCTAACTCTGCCTCTTGTTCAGTCAGACAGCAGTTTGGGGGCTTTCTGAAATTTTTGTGTGGCGACTTCAAAAGTTTTTAAGGTGAATGTATTGGACAAAGAAGCAACAGAAACAACAAAGAAATCTGTAATGCAACTCTACAGGAGGTCAGTGTGGTGACTATGTGTTTGTCTGTTTGTTTATAACTTGGCTAAAATGTTTCTGGGATCTTTAGAAGAACGTGAAACAGGCTGCAATTAATGAGACACGTTTAAAGACCTTCTATCACTTTAATCACACAGATGCCACTGGTTCTGATGTCCTTGAGCCACAAGTGGCTCAAGGGCAGAAGACTTTATTATAGAGGCACTGCTAAATTGTTGTCTTATTCACTTCTCTTGGTACTGCTGGCCTGTCAGATGTTGATCTAGATGGGCCTTTGATGTTATTCAATATGGCTTTGTATATGGACTTAGCTAATGTGGTAGGAACAATTTATGGAGTCTTATAGACCACTTCCATATACAACTTAGATGAGAATTTCATCACAAATGTGGTATTCAGGCAAGATGTTGCAGTCCACTGGGAAGTGACTATACCGTGAGATCACCAGAACAGACAGCTTTTAGAAACTGGTTATCGTCCACATGGTTTTAAGAAATGAGACTATCATTGTAACGGGGTTCAACTCATTGATATTCAAAAATAACCTGAGAGAGATCTTAATTCCTTCCACACTTACACTGGTTCTATGTGACTTCCATCTGCATATGGCAGAATAATCAAGCTGACAAGAAATTAAGCCAGACATTATCACTTACAGTAGGATCGTGTCTTTAACATAAAGATCTGCTGTGACTTGTGTAGTAATAACACAATTTTACTGCAGTCAGAAAAATTACTGTACTTCTGATTCTTAGAAGAAACAGAAAACATCTGCCATCACTTTAAAACTGGCTTATTTGTGGTTCTGTTTGCACAAAGAACTTCTTAAAACAGTGAACAGCTACAATATCTAGAATCAAACCTGGTCAGCAGTTTCATTGAGGTGGCAGCCCAGTCATGCCACACTGCACAGAAATGGGTTTTTGAAGGAGAGTAGTTACAATCCAGTGAAGTTATTGGGGAACGTTTTTATTGACATGGCATAAATTCGTGTCAGCAGGTTTTCCTTCCGTATTTATCCAAACAGTGATAAGTGGAGATGTGTGGCTTAAACAGACATAACCTAAATAGGCCATTTCAGAACTGCCTTGTTTTGCTTGATTAACCCAAAGTGCTGATTGCTTTTTTTGGACTGATGACTTGCAATTATTACTGATTTTTTATCAGAAACACTTGGACACAGAAAGCCCCCAGTAAGGAGTTCAAGTTAGATAAGTATGCCTTTCAAATACTTATGTGTTATATATGCAGTGGAAAAACTTACAACAAGTCCAGATTTTTTTTTGGCGCACAAAATTCCACATATGCCACAAAGCAGAAACTGCAAAGAAAAAAGTATACCAATTATTTCATCATTTAAGGTCTCAAGTTTACATTCTGCTGTCTTGCTGTAGTAGTGACCACAACAGTAGGTTAGGCAATAGTTACAGTTGTTGTCAGCATTTTTATCACAAACCTTATGTTTCAGGAATTTATAACTCATCCATAAATGCACTTATCTGAGAAGAAGAAACTGGAATGAAAAGTCAGACTGAGGATTATTACTCATAAAAAATTAAAAAAAAAAAAAAAAAGAAATCCTACTCTTAAGTTGCTTGGGTAAATAAAACATTAAAAAAACACCCCAGTGATGTTGCAAACAAAAGATGCCGTTTTACTTTTTTTTTTTTTTTTTTCTTTTCTCAGAAAAGTTTCACAAGATAGTAGTGGATGATCCAAAACATCTACTTTCAAGCATAGCTGAGGTATGTAGTGCCCTGATCCTACCATGTGAACCACTGAGGGAACATACATGGACAACATGGACAGTGGGACTCTGGGCAAGAATGCAGTTCAGCCACCTCCCTGGGTGCAGGTGTAAATATAAGTATCTCTGTTGGTGTGGTTATTCTGAACATTCAGGAAGAAGCATTCAGATTCTAGATAGCCCGCTTTATAAGAGATAGCACGAAGTTATCTGTAATTTTTTCATGTAGTTCCCTCTCACAAACTGATCTCCTAATTGTCACATCAAGCATTAGGCAAAAACTAATTAACAAAAACTGAAACACCCCCTACCAGCTGATATGAATAGGTGTTAACGCTTTTTAGTGACCTGCATCAAAGACCAGTGACATTCTCTGATGTCCCTTTTTCCTTCTACAAAAAGGTTTAATGAGGGAAACAGGGAACAGTCCCCGAGGGAGCAGTCATGGTAGGAATGACAGTAGTTGTATGAAAGCAATAAAGCCTTCTCCAGGTGTTTCTAATACTGTCAAAAGATTTCTTTGATACCTCATAAACTTCTTTATTAAGAAATCTAGGCTACTTATTTTCAGTAAAGCTAACCCTAGATCTCTACTGAGAAGTAATTTTAGAGTTTTAAAACTGGATTTTTCCACCTCCTTTTTGCACTGAGATGGCATTTCTAGCAAAAGGCTCTGCCTGACCTTGATTTGGCATTAAATCACAGAACAGACCTGGCTGTTGCATAAGTGAAAAAAAAATGAAACATTTTTTTTTCAGTCCATGTAATATATTGCATGTACATCTCATTTACCCTCCAAAATATTGCAACTTGAGTATTTCAGTTGAAGAGGTTCTTTAATACATAGTATATCTCCCTCCAACTAAAGTAGTTCATGCATATAGCTAAGCATGAGACTTGAGATACATTTTTACTCTGAGTTGGGTCCATTGAATCAGTTCCCCACAACTAATATGGTTAATTTTTTAAATATTATTTACCTCTATACTAAGCTCAAGATGTGGACTTAATACTGCCGATGGAGAGGAATGGGTCAGGTAGACCATGGCACTGAATGGCTCAGGACGTACCAAGACATACAACTGGTAATTGCTGTTAGAGCTCACCTATTGGAACAGCAATCAAAAAAGCAATGGGTAGGACTCCCTCTGCCCCTTCGCCTTTGGCAAAGGAGATTTCAGCTCAGACCTATGACACCTGTCTTCTAAGTTTTCACTCAGGCTTTCTGTGAAGTTTTGGAGTTTCACTCCCAATTCTGTCATTACAGATTGCCTTCAACTGAAAGCGTGCTTCAGTTTTTCACATGTAGTATTTTGTATTTCTCAACATTAATGCAGAAATCTCAAAAAAATTTTTGTTCAAGACATTGCTGTAATTAAGTTCTACTCAGTCAGACTTGATAAAGCCGATTAATAATATCATTCCTCTCTGTAGCGATTGAATAGGATTGAAAGGAAAATTCTGTATAAGGAAAAATTTATGAGCTCTGGAAAGCTTGCAGAAAGGATCTGGAAGATGTCATCAATGATAGTTTTGACTTGTAACAAGTCTGTCTTAACTAGCTTAAAAAGCTTTGGGGTTTGATTAATTTTGAACTCTTCTATTTTATAATACTCTCAGCTGTAATATAGACACCAGGGGCTCTGCTGTCTTGCCAGTCTCTGTCTGTTCCTGGCTATCCTGAAGGACTTCATGTCAATATGTCATTCCATTTAAACTTGTAACTGTTGAGCTACTCTGGACTACAGTTTACCCATGACTGACTAATACTGTCATGGGAAGGACTTGCTCCTTTCTGCATGATCGTTGATTATCCTCAGTCAATTTTTATCAACCTTGTGGGCTGTTTAAGTGTAGTTACATTTTATAACCCTGTCAAACCTGAAGTAAGTTAAGGGAAACACATGCTGAAAATAAGTAAATCAGGAGTGGAAAATAAATATATCACTGAAGATAAGCTCCTTATAAAGAATGACCAGTTGTTGAAGTGTTCACAAGTCATGCTGAGAATAAGGCTAAAACATTTCATGAAGGATAAGCTAAATTAATAAGCCCTCCAAAATGCCCTGGGAGCCAGAGAGAGCCTGGACTTAAAACAGATGTTTCACTCTCGGACTTTCATTTTAAATATTATTGATGAGAAAAATCATAAAAGGCTAAAAGATCAAAAATATCACTTAAAAACCTACGTAGACGACTATTTGCAACCAATTCCCATTATTTCTGGGGTTACTTTTGGTTGCAGACTTATTCATACCTCCAATAATACATGATATTTCATGTCAAGACTAGCAGAGGAGGCAGAGGTTGAATGTATCATACAGTAATAGATGGGGCAGAACTACTTTTGGGCAAAGGGTAAAAAATCCAAAGAAAGACACTACAAAGCACAAAAGATAATTAGAAACTCAGTCGGCTGTGGGTGCCTTAGTCTTTCATTCAGTGAAGTTTTAGCAGGGACCTAGCAGAGTCAGAATCCCTCTGATAACACTTGTGTGACTGCAAGGTGATGCAGGAGTGTCTAATTGTCTGTGGAGATTTTGCCATTCACATTGCAGCTGTGCCTGCTTATTTTCAATATGCATATTTGAAAATCATAGAATCATAAGAATCATTTAGGTTGGAAAAGACCTTTAAGGTCATCGAGTCCACCCCTTAACCTAACACTTCCAAGTTCATCACTAAACCATGTCCCTCAGTGCCACATCTACAGGTCTGTTAAATATCTCCGAGGATGGTGACTCAACAACTTCCCTAGGCAGCCTGTTCCAATGCTTGACAACCCTTTCAGGGAATAAATTTTTCCTAATATCCAATCTAAACCTCCCTTGGCGCAACTTGAGGCCATTTTCTCTTGTCCTATCACTTGTTTCTTGGGAGAAAGGACTGACACCTACCATGCTACAACCTCCTTTCAGGTAGTTGTAGAGGGTGATAAGGTCTCCCTTGAGCCTCCTTTTCTCCAGGCTAAACAACCCCAGTTCCTTCAGCTGCTCCTCATAAGACTTGTGCTCTAGAACCTTCACCAGCTTCGTTGCCCTTGTTTGCACACACTCCAGCACCTCAATGTCTTTCTTGTAGTGAGAGGCCCAAACTGAACACAGTCTTCAAGGTGTGGCCTCACCAGTGCTGAGAACAGGGGCACAATCACTTCCCTAGTCCTGCTGGCCACACTATTTCTGATGCAGGCCATGATGCTGTTGGCCTTCTTGGACACCTGGGCACGCTGCCGGCTCACATTCAGCCAGCTGTCAACCAACACCCCCAGGTCCTTTTCCATCTGGTAGCTTTCCAGCCACTCTTCCCCAAGCCTGTAGTGTTGCAGGGGGTTGTTGGGACCCAAGTGCAGGACCTAGCGTGGAGCCTTGTTTTACGTCATACAATTGTCCTCAGCCCATCGAGCCAGCCTGTCCAGATCCCTCCGTGGAGCCTTTCTGCCCTCAAGCAGATCAACACTCCCCCTGACTTGCTGTCATCTGCAAACTACTGAGGGTGAACTCAATCTCCTCGTCCAGATCATTGATAAAAATACTAACCAGAACTGGTCCCACTACTGAGCACTGAGGAACACCACTTGTGACTATCTGACAACTGTATTTATCTCCATTCACCACCACTTTTTGTGCCCGACCATCCAGACAGTTTTTTACCCAGAGAATAGTACTCCTGTCCAAGCCATGAGCAGCCAGTTTCTCCAGGAGAATGCTGTGGGAAACAGTGTCAAAGGCTTTACTAAAGTCCAGGTAAATAACATCCACAGCCTTTCCTTCATCCACTAAGTGGGTCACCTTGTCATAGAAGGAGATCAGGGTAGCCCAGCAGAACCTTCCTTTCATAAGCACATGATGACTGGGCCTGATTGCCTGGTTTTCCTGTACATGCCGTGTGATGACACTCAAGATGATCTGCTCCGTGACCTTGCCCAGCACTGAGGTCAGACTGACAGGCCTGTAGTTCCCTGGATCCTCCTTCTAGCCCTTCTTGTAGATCGGCATCACATTTACTAACCCCCAGTCAGCTGCGACCTTCCCAGTTAGCCAGACCTGCTGTTAAACGGTGGAAATCTCTCTTTTGGTCTGTTGAACTTTGGAATAAATAATCAAAGACCTCCCAGAGAAGGAGAATGCTTATTTTGATCCTGCTTTAATTTACTTTATATTAAATATGGGATTGAAACAAAACCTCAGATCCAAACACCCAGAAATTTTGGTAAGGAAGCTGAAATCTCAATTTAGATTCAAGTTCTGTGGTTTGGATCCATCCCTATTTCATATTTGCTGAAAGAAAAGACTTGGCTTCTTTCACTTTCTCTTGGAAAAAAGAGGTCTTTCTTACTGTTAGACTAAAAAAAAAGATTCAGTTTCAGTATATCTGCAGAGAACCAAAATTTGTTGGTTTCCATCATGCAGAAGAGAAGGAACTATTTTTATTTTGTATATTGAAGCTATGAAACTTGCTTTCTTCTGTTTTGAGGAGGCAAAAGCAATGGTGTGTGTAATTCGCTTGAGAAAATGAAAACCGTCTATGGAAAATCTGTCTGGAGACAGGCTGAAGAAAATAGTAGAGAAAACCTG